CAAACAACATGGCTGCCGACTGCTGCGTTCGGCTGCATTTTAGCAAATATTGGACGATTTAATGGTTTCTTCACCCATAGCACATCAGACCACCCTTCCTTGAACTAGCACAATGTCACTGAAATTCGATTTTTCACAATTTATCACTTCTGGAAGACGTAAAACGAAATTTACGATTTGCACGCATCAGACGTCAAATAGACGGAAGAATAGTTCACTGATTTTCCGTCAGAGGCATTGATGGTATATTTGACCACGTTATCATCGGGGTCGATAAAAACAGAAATCAGTCGATAAATGTAAATTCTAATTTGACACTACAAACAGCTACGCGAATATAGTCAGAAGTATGGCATAGTTGCCGCAACGTATTAAGACTTCTGTCACGCTGTTGCCACATCTGTTACAATTGCAACAGGCTCGAGCCGATTTTGATTCCTGCCAGACATAGAAAAGAATAGGGCGCTCGAGAGAGAAAGAGATTCGAGAATGAAACAATACATGTACTAATGTGTGCAACCATCAAACTTTTTTATTCATATTTATAATCATGTTTTTTTCATCAATTAAATTACAGATAGAATACTTGAAATGGTATGCCAGAAAAATGAATTATAAAACTTGCACCATATACAGTGAAAACTCGATAAATGTACATAACTATTACCGGTCCACTCCGCAACTGTTATGGAATAGGAGAATCATTTTTCAAAGATTGCCTAGTCAGTAAACACTAATTAGAAAGAGTCAGTAGCTAGAGACGAAAGAGGGACTCAAACCGGGATTTATTGCCTTCATTTAAATGTCCCGTGTCGATGTGACCATACTAATGCACAGAATAAAGTTTTTTATTTTGTACTTTTTGTTAATAAAAATTTCACTATCATGTGGAGAAGATTTTTCTGATTAAAAATCAGAAAAATCACGGCCATCGATCGCCGTGCTGCTGCCTGCAAAAACAGTAGAAAAGCGGCGATCTCATACTAATGCGTACGTTGTCACGGACGCACACGGATGGCCAGAATTCAATGTGTTAGTTTCGACAGTTTTTCGAAAATATCTCGAAAACTAAGGCCGAGTGGCGGTTATATGTATAGGAAAAAGTTGTTCAAAATGTAGAGTTTTACAACATATTTAAATTTCATCAAAATCGGTGAGGTGTAACCTAATCTCAATAATTACCGAATAATTAGGTAAGGTTAGGATAGGTTAGGTTATATTTTATGAGGCAGGCCCCGCCCACGCCTTTAAGAATCCAGTGCCTGCTATTTGTTCTACTGACTAAGTATGGTTTCGTAACCGTCATTTGTTTTAAAACATTTACCCGTTAGATCTACAGTAAAACCTGGATAAATGCAACGAAAGAATGCTTCGATAAGTGCAACATCGCTATCCCCTCCACTTGGGGGGATCCCCCTAGGCGAACCGAGCCGCTCGACGAGGAAACCGTGTAATATGATCCGACCGTAATATCGGTGTGACTAATACTAATTGAACGATAAAACTTTTTTATTTTTAACTTTTTCTTAATGAAACTTTTACTAACGCATTTGTGAGATTTTTCTGATTAAAATGACACCAAACACGATATAGTTTGAATTATATTTATAAACAATAGTAATAGAATAAACAACATAGAATTGACACCACGACCGAATATAAATGATGTGTACGGACTCAGAATCGACATGTCGGCTGAATACAAAAGATGTGTACGGACTCAGAATCGACACCTCGCTTGGATAAATGAAACATTAAATGCCCAGAATCGACACCTTGCCTGGATAAATGAAACCTTTGAAACCAGAACCGACACCGCGACTGGTTTTGATTTCGATCTCTCTTGTTTTTCGGCATCAATCATTTAACATCAATTTTAGCAAGTAATTATAATTGAAACTATATCGCGTTTGGTATCATTTTAATCAGAAAAATTTCAACAATGCATTAGTAAAAGTTTCAGTAAAAAAAAGTCAATAACAAAAAAAATTCCGACTTCGAAATGTACTAAAAAGTGTAAAATAATTTCTATTTCATTTATGCCAATATTTCATGGCTATTAATAATATCTACTTAATCGTTAAATAGGATACCAAATACATTTCAAAGTTTTCGGAGACGGCGCAAAATTGAAAACTTTTCTTCTACTAGGAAGATTCTAGTGCAGGCGCCGGCAACCTATGACAAATGACCCATTTGATAATTTCAAGTAAACAATATTCAACGGGAATCAACATACACATTGCGGATTAGCTATACTGCAGGTCACGGGAGACCATACTTAACTCGCGCAGCTCACTAGGTCTAGGGACATTTTTAATAACGTGTGTGATTCCCCTCTACAGCTTGCTTCTTACTTTGCGATCATCTAATTTTTTCTTTGAAAAATAATAGGAATTTCATTGTATCTTTACCATATCATCATCGGTTATCAGTTATCGTACGTTATATATTTCTATCCACCATTTATATGATCGCAAAGTAAGAAGCAAGCTGTAGAGGGGAATCACACACGTTATTAAAAATGTCCCTAGACCTAGTGACCTGCGCGAGTTAAGTGTGGTCTCTCGTGAATTACAGTATACCTTATTAGGTGGCCCTTATTTTTCGACTTCGAATTTTTTTTGGTCGCACCCCCTAAAATTGTGGCACTTGATGAAAAAGTGATAATTGCAAAGTTTTAGCATGATTGAACAACAGGAACCAGTACCGCAATCGAGTTGAAGTTTTAAAATTTATACGATTTCACGTTGACATCGAATGTATTCGTATCATTTTGTTTTATAAATAGTGGCAAATATTTTGTACTATAAATATAATTTGTTACATGTATAATTTTATCGTTTGTGTATGATTTTCAAAAATATACTAAAAATTACTGAATCTTACCGCTAAAGTTAATGAGTCTTATTGCGTAGTTGCGGAAGTGGTTACCTCAAATACGAAAACCAATCTCCTATTCATCTAGCCCTTAGAGTTCTTATATAAAATAAACCAAATTAAACAATATATTACGATATTAAAAAAATGTATAGTAGAAACTCTACATGATAGATATATAAAATTTTCATTGGGCAGTAACGAAATAGTAGGGATTAGTAATATATGTATTTTTTTAGCTAATTTATACATTCAAGCCTGGTTTAATGCACCAATTCCTGTAAAAGCACCATTGCAAGATCTCAAATTCCTACAAAATTTATACTCGTAATCTACAGTTGATAATAATATTAGTAGAATAGCAATACGCAAATTTTGCGGCCATTTATGGTACCTTGCACCACAGAACGTGGCATTATCCTTTTTTGATGAAATAATACAGTTGTTCAAAATCGAAAGTTCAATAAAGAGACTTTTAATACTTCCGGAAAACGTACAAAATTATGTAGATATGAATATTGATAGCTTCATTTCTACTGAATCTAAAAAATGGTTTAATAGGTACAATATACCTACAGATTTTTTAGAAAAAGCCCCTTCATTGTGGAAGAATGATATTTCATATCAAAGAGGTTTACAAATTGCAACACATTTAAAAGTGGTAAACGATACCGCTGAACGTGGTGTTAAACTTATATCTAAATATAATAATCTGCTGACCAAAAATGAGGACGAAACACAATACATTTGACAAATAATTGAGGATTACAAAAAACTTTATCCTGATATAAGCAAATCTACATTAACACAGAATGTATATTAAAAACTACGTACAATTTAATAATCGGTTAATTTATTCAATATATCACATATAACTTAAATTTCAATAAAGAATCCTTTGTTTATAACTATTTAAAAAAGATTCATTTAAAAGTGCTAATACAATCAAGATTATTAGAAAATTTACCAACCGTTGAACAAATTGTATACAGCTCCCAGTCACATTGTCCGGTGGCTCAAACGCAACGTTACATGTCAAGTTAAACGCTAAAATTTAATAATTTTGTGTATATTGTTAAAAGCTGAATACACATGCTAGTATTACACGTGTAAAAAACTATATTTTCATTACAAAATAGTCACTGATACTTTCAAAATAAAGAGCCCCAGACATATCAGGTGTTAACCTGAAATCGTACAAATTTTAAAACTTCAACTCGATTGCGGCACGGGTTCCTGTTATCCAATCATGTTGAAACTTTGCAATTATCATTTTTTTATCAAGTGTCAGAATTTTAGGGGGTGCGACCATGAAAAAGTCGAAAAAAAATTTGGAGCTCTATAACTAAGGGCCACCCTAGGTCCCAGGCCCCAGGGTCTCTTTACCCGCAAAAACAGCAGGGTTCGATTGTGCGGCACGCCTTTTGTCTTGCGTAGGGAGAGAATCACACTGTATTTTAAATTTTGTATACAATTATAATGGAATTGTTATAGCGCACATATGTATTGCAAATCTATTCTTGATTCATTAGATTCAACTTTTCTATTCTTGCCATGAGAAAAAGAAATACGAATAATGGAAGATTTCTAATATCAGAACACAAATCTACTCTTGGCTGGATAAATCCAATTTTTCCATTTCTATCATGATAAATAAAACACAGGTATATATGTTGCAAATCTATTCTTGGCTTGATGGATCCAAATATTTCATTCCTACTATGAAAGTAAGAAACACAAACAATGGAAATTTCTAATATTCGAACAGACATTTATTCTTGGCTCGGTAGATTGAATTTTTCTATTTCTATCACGAAGATAAGAAACCCAAATAATGGAAGATTTCTAATATCAGAACGCAAGAGTGTTACGAATCTATTCTTGGCTCGACAACTGTGTTGCAAATTTATTCTTGGATTGATAGGTTCAACTTTTCCATTTGTGTCGTGCAAATAAGAAACGCAAGTAATAAAAAATTTCTAATTCTTAGCTCGCTAGATCCAACTTTTCGATTCTTATTACAAAAATAAAATGCAAAAGTAATGGGAAATTTAGAAAGAAGTAAAAGATGCCGGAAGCTGCGTAGAATGCACGTCAATCAGTGTCGTTGAACGTTCCTTCCTTGGGGTTGCTCGTGCTCCAGAGCACCGGTGTCAGTCGGGCTGCGAGCTTCGACCGCGAAGGTCGCTGGAGTACGGCTTACTCGCAGGTGCGACAGTTCGTGTTTATGCCTCGAACCGTGAAAATCGTTTATCCTCATCGATGGATCACACGAGGAGAGAAAATGAAGTGTTGCATGGAAATAAACGACTTTTGGGTAACGAATTTTGAAATTGGAATACGGTTGACACGTGTCGCGATGGTACATTATCCTGCTAATTAATGTGAACACAGTGATTGTCCATGTGGTCGCTTCTGCATTTTCGCTACAAAAAAATGTTTTATTATTGACCATGTTTTAATGTCTGTGATTAATTGGTTTTAAATATGAACATTCCACCGAGAAAGTAAGAAAGGATTGTAATCACAGGTGAACACCTAAGGGCAGATAAAAAACTGAATAAAAGGCGTTCTTCTCTAGCAAAATGCACTTTTTTAACGATCAATATTTTAATCAGAGGAAATACCAAAACTTGACTGCAGCTTATATTAACTAAATGACCTTCAGAAGAATGATAAAAAATTAATTGATTCCATGCTAAAACAAGTGCAACCTATTGACGTCGAACGATGACACATTTTTAATAATAGGCTACAAGGGATACTGTATTTCCACTTAAAAAAATTTTTTTTTGTATTTATTAAAACTGATTTTATGAACAATAACGAATGTTTACAGTGATGTCAGATGTGTTTGCATTAGTTCACGCATTACTGAATTAGGTACGTTATTGTTATGAGACTGAATTATAAAGAATAGATAAATAACTGTTCTGAATAGATAAAGAATATAAAATATTACTAAAGATTGTATGATCTGACATTTACGTTTGGATATTGGCGTGTAAACACGTTTAATAAGTGATACATTTATTTATTGAAAGTATTCAAGTAAGTGCTAATAATTTAATAAAAACTTAGATATTTTCGAATATGGTACCATGCAATAGACATAGGCAATTTTCAACGTTCAGACGTGCCAAATATACTAGAGCACTAGAGCAAATGTACTGTATATGGGCATAATGCATAGTGTGTAGTATGAAGTGCATGGTACGTACATAATGCATGGTGCATAGTGCATAGTGCATAGTGCATAGTGCATAGTACATAATCCAGACTTCACAGTGCATAGTGCATACTGTATGCTGTATGGTACATGCTGCATGGTACACTATATATAAATGATTCTAGTAGTTTTGTAAATAAGCGAAAAACTCGATATATGTAGTTTCAACAAATGTCATTTTCGCATAGATAATTTGATGCATAGTTTATTAGCTCTTAACCGGTGAAGGGAGTCTGACATACTCCAATTATTCTATTTATCCAATTGATTACTGGATAAAAACATAATTATTTAAAAAATATTCATACATAAACAATAAATAAACTTTATGAGTTAAAAAATATTCTATAAAGGAAAATTAAACAGACATATAATTGTCAGTTTAAAAATTTTGTTATTCCTTAAAAACTAGCTCACTATTTATAGTTCATCGCAAATGTTTCTTGTTACGTGGTATATAGTATGAGTTGTTCTAAACAAGTTCGTTTTTCATTAGATATTTGTAATTTTTCTTAAAGGTTTCTTGTCAAATGATGTATAATACATTGTGTGTGAATTGTTTTGACAATTTCATAAATAGGTAAAAAGTGTAGAATATATTCTATATAACTATAATTATATTATTTTTCATAATTATAATTATAATATATGGGTAATTACGATCTTAAGTGATTTAATATAGTATTTGTTTAAAAAATTGAAATTATAAACTCCATTATTAATATGTGTAATTGTTTTTTATATATTAACAGGTAAAACAACATAAAAATTTTATCTCTAAAGTACAAAGTTTACGCTGTAAACAATACAACCCTCGCAAGAAATATTAAAATGGTTAATGGAAAATTAAAGAATTGTTCACTTCGAAGTAACGTTTGATTGCTAGTGCTGTTTTGAAATTCATAGCTTCAATTATGTCATTTATTAAACTAATAATGATTATCACAGTTCAAGTTTACGCTTCAAACTTGGCAATTTTTTACATATGTTTTTCGCTACGTCTTACATGATACATTGCGTACTGAGGATTTTGACAATTTTGTAAATAGATGAAGAATAAATATAATTTAATCGAGAAAAGTGTACCATAAAACCTGCATAAGTGCAAAAAAAAAAAATACATACTGATCGAATTGAGTAACTTCCTCCTTTTCGAAGTCGGTTAAAAATTGGGACCCAAGCATTTCATTTATACATAGAGTGAAGGTATTGAATCGCGGGTTACATGCAGCGGCAGCTAAGCGTGAACGTAGAAAGGGACAGACAGTGGAGGAGAGAGAGAGGTCTAATGATCAAAGGAAAAAGCCGAAACGTATCGGTGTGACTAATCCTAATTCAATTATAAAACTTTCTTATTTTTGACTTCTTTTTAATGAAACTTTTACTAACGCATTGTTGAAATTTTTCTGATTAAAATGATACCAAACACGATATTATTTGAATTATAATTACTTGCTAAAATTGATGTTAAAAGTTTGCACATACACAGTGGAGATATCGAATTTTGTCCTGACACTGTGTACATACATATCCACGCGCAGTGTCGATTCTGCGTCCGTATGTACACATCGTTTGTATTTGTTGCGTATTCCTGATCTCGTCCAGCAACGCTCTCCGGATACATAAATTCACCCCTTTTCCTGTTCATTCATTGACGCTTATCACGTCCTTTTTGGACAGGACACATAGTTATGAGAAGTTTCTCAAACGGGTCCTTTCCGATTAGATTTCTCAAACAGATACCAATCTTTTTTCCAAAAACACATTATTTCCATTTCCGGTGCGTGACACGAAAAACCTCCCTTATTCCCTACAAAGGACACGTAGCTCCTACCCCACCAAAGGCGCTTTCAGCCCTTTAAATACAGGCTCCAAACAAGGAGCAAGCAGTGAAAAAATTACTTTAGCCTGTGCGGAACACATCGACGTTTCATTGTAAAGCAACGCTATAAATAAAACAGCTCACAAATTGTAAACACTTGGTGTAGTCTTTCGACATATGTATTCAGTCGAGATGTCGATTCTGCGTTTGTACACATCATTTATATGCAGCCGAGGAGTCGATATTATGTTGTTTATTCTATTATTATTGTTTATTTATTCTATTATTATTCTATTATTCTTAATTATTATTAGTTTGTAACTTACTATAATTTTCAATACAAAGAAACTGTCCGGTTTCGTGGAAATCACGGACTTTTTCTAACATCATAAAGCACCTAATTTGTAGTCAATAGTTCCGCAGCATATTCTGAACAAATAAATAAATGAATATAATTCAAACTATATCGTGTTTGGTATGATTTTAATCAGAAAACTCTCACAAATGCGTTAGTAAAAATTTAATTAAAAAAAGTCATAAATAAAAAAGTTTTATCGTTGAATTGGTATTAGTCACACCGGTATTACGGTTCGGATCATATTACACGGCTTCCTTGGCGAGCGTCTCGGTTCGCCAAGGGGGATCACCCCATGTGGAGGGGATAGCAATTTTGCACTTATCCAAGCAATCTTTTTTCTAGTTAGCATTCAAAAATTTCAGAATTTCAAGATTTCAGAATTCTAAAATTCTATAATCTCAAAATTGCTAAATTTACATGTTGGCGCTAAAAGTGGAGACGTTTTAAAGATTTCAAGGTCAATTACTTTTATGTAAATGGAAATCAATGCACATTGTTATTTACTACAAAAAAGTATCAACATATGTACTTGTCAAAAACTCATGGGTTCTCGAAATTCACTTCCGAAACTGGCGAATGCATCAGATCATACTTTATTTAAGCCCATTTAACTTTTCCTAATGAAACTTTTCTCTATATTCTGTCGTTTTAAAGCTTTAGCTTACGATTAGTTCAGTTGCCTGCGATACCTTGTATATTTACATATACATAAGTAGCTTTGATGGTACATGTTCTTTGGATTTCTTCGTTCTCGCAGAGTTAACATATAAAAAAGAACATCCTCGAAGAGTCGAAAAGCTACTTTTACCAACAGGCAAATCCTCAAACAGTTTATTTGTAAAGTTCCTCGAAAATCCGTCGCATTCCCTGGAAAAGAAACTGGACGGATTTTCCTTGGTTCTTAGTTTTTCCATCAAACTTTTCGAGGACGTGCTTCTCAAATGATAGAAATAAAAGCCCGACTAATCGTAGAAAATCTGGTTTTGCGAGCAAAATTATCGATCTATCGATAGTTCTCCTTTCTATCGTCTGGAATAAATTAGGAATTGGTTTGACTATTTGTTTAAATTTTTTTATGTTTCACTGCACATAAATTTAATATTAAAAGTAACAACTGTCATTGAATTATACAGGGTGTTACGTTTAAGTGCGAATGGTCAAATACGTCGTAAAGGGTTAAAGCTATTAAAAAAATGTTTCTACAAAACACGTTATGTGGCGCAAATGATGTTTTGATAGGTAAAGTGGTGGGGGAGATTTTGAAACCAAAACAATTTTTTTAAATGGCATCCTACATATATTTTTCTATTTATAGTATTGTAGTGGGTGTTGCGACGAATTTAACGACCTGCTTCATCGCATCATTCCATTAGTTAGTACCATAAATTTTTGCGATTGAAGTTGCGTCAGTGTGCACGGGGAACGTTGGCTGTATCACGTAGAAAGTTCACAGGATTTTAAGAAATAAATGAATAGTACTTTTAAAAGTTTGGCACTTTATTTTACAGTATGATTCCGACTAACTAACTACTTATGTCCGGTGAGGTTGATGATGAACAGGGTGGGGTGTCCGTGAGAACGCGTCTTATCGAATATTTAAGTAGGTGGTCGTAACATGATGTTTAGGTGTCCAGTCGTGAAGAGTTCGATTGTGCGAGTATCGATCGTTTAAGCGGGTGGTCGTAACACGATGTTTGTCCGGTCGTGGGAAAAATTCGATTATCGTACGTTTAGGCGGGTGGTCGTAACAGCTGCAACGCGCCGCCTCAAAGGGGGGTTGTTTCAGTGTTACTTGAGTGTTATTTTCTTGTGTTAGGCGGAATCAGATTTTACCCAAATATTGTGAGGGGATATTGATGCTGTAGAAAAAAAAATTAAAAATTAGTTGAGACAATTATTAATGGACAT